TATACTTCCGATGAATGACAGGCATTGATAGAAATAAGTAATTACCGTCTCCTGCCATGCCTTTTATCGCGTAATTTTATCTAATCGCCAGTGGAATTTATATTTATTCTCCGATTACGTACGCAGAACGTACTGACATAGTTTGCAACCAATCTGGTATTTTGTCGGCCAGTTTCCCTCCTGTGTCCCTCTCTCGATGCTGCGCCGAGACACGAGCAGGCTAAAGGAGAGATACCACGGAGACGGCAAACCACGATGAAAAAGGTCTGTGCTTTTTCGACAAACAAGATTTCCGTCCCTTGAGTCACACGGATGACTCACGCGGCCAGAACACAACGGGCCAAGTGAGATGTAACTGAATTATCGGTTACTCGGTAAATACCAACGGCTTTCCTACGTCGATAAGCCTAAGTTCGATAACTGAGCCGAGTTGGGTAAAACGTGTCCTTTCTTCGTATGTTCCGACAAGTATCTTATCGCTCATGAAAAAGCCGCAGGGCTTGCCTGCCTTGCATCTGAAGATGCACGGGAAAGTAAATCGGGACGAAACCCACGAGGGATTCGTGAATGGCGAACAAATGAGTGTTGGATGTTACGGAAAATTTGAAGAGGTGATTGGATTTAATTCTTAGGATTCCTTTAGATTCGGTCAAACTACTCAAGGCCAAGTTAATTCCACGAAAAATTGAATGAACTCGTCAAGGGAGAATTCAAATAAATCTAGACTGGCCTGAAATTTTTCTGAGAGGAAACACCAAATTATACTAAATACAAAGCGTCGCTCAGATTGCTATCAAAGTGTTGTATCACCGAAAGGAGGATCGTTAGATTCTTTCTCGTTAGAAGAGGATCGTATAAAATACAAGCAATGTCCTTAATTCGAAGTAGTAAAAAGTTCAGTTGCACGAGCAAGGGACTCTTGCGAGTCTCGTACGTTGCTGGTGATTCCAACTAGGCATGTCATTCTTAGAACCCTCGCCGCTTCTACGTTTTTCATTTCCAACTTGTGGGCAGAAATAGATCACATTGCCCCTCGCGAGTTTCCACGTTTCACGGCCCTGAATCAAGCTCGCATGGCTATTATACAACACGCGCAATCTTCTAACCTTGGGTCCGGACTGACCAGTTTCTTTCGTTTTCGATGCCTGCAGGGGAATTATCGGCGGGAAACGCGGTGTCACTGAACTATAATTTTTTTTCCCCCTTAAAGAGAATATACCGCCCTAATATTTCGCTTCTCGTGGAGTTCGAGTTTCTTTGGTCAAAGTGTTAATTGGTCAAGTGAGAAAGAATTGAATGGCAAGGGATTTTCCAACTCCTAGAAGTAAAGGAAGTATACAGTTTCTTGTGTTTAAATGTCGGCCAGTGTGTGTGTGCGTTAGGCGTTTCCCCCCGAGGTACACCCGTGTAAAGAGATTGCCCTTTATGGGGTTTCCAGCGATCAACGGCCTGTGGCTTAATTGATATCGATCTCATCGGCGTCGATTCGCAGCAGCGGCGACAGTGAATTCAGAAATCAGTAGTCAGACGCGACCCACTTGTCTACTTCGCTCGGGCTTCAATTTTCTCTGTTGATTTCAACAACATACAGGTATCCGAGTGTTTCAACTTTTCCACCAATACTGTGTAGTTTTCTTTCTAATCTTTTCATACATTCCTTCGGAACATTTTCGATTTAATAATTTCTCTTCTATCGTTGAGAAATTCCTTGTGCTTGAGAAAGAAAAATTTCGTCCCGATTTCCTCGATAGGAATTTTGTTTGAAACACTATATATACATCGTTTTGTTTGTTGAAGTACGAGCATGATTCAGATATAAAGATCCTCAGCTTCTATACCAAGTACAAATGGTTATAATTAAAATAGTATGGTGAAAAATGAAATAGAAATATATGTGTCATGGTCTGTTCTCGACAAAATTAATATATCATATGAATTGTGATTAAAGGCTTTGACAGTTATAGTATTAAGAAATATTTTCGATTCTATGAAACCCATTGAAGAATAATTAATCTCGTTTTCCAATAGCCGCAATTTCGTACATACATTCCTCTCAGAAGAGTAAAAAAAAAAAAAAAGTATTTATCTTTTTGTAAGCCCTAATAAATTCCTTGAAGAGTTTAATCGGAAATATCCAAGGTTTCGGCAGGCGAATTCCGCTTTTCTAGATAAGCACGCGTTATCTGTCTATTAACGCGATATAAGTATAATTTCTGAAGTTGCCTTGATACTTTAATCGTTCGAGAAAATTAAAGCGCAGATATATAGAAAACAGCAATGTAAACCATGTTACATTTACGATGTAAAAACAATCTTGCAATGTAAAATTCGACTATTAATTCGAAGAAAAAAAAAAAAAAAAAAAAAAAAAGAAAAATTTCTAACATGTCGATGCCATTCTAGTTCGATTGAAAAATACTAAATTATTTCTAAAACAATAAAAATATTCGTGGTTTTAAATACGGATGAGGTTTCAAAGCTACAGAAAATCTCGTAACGTTGCGGAAACACGTGGGCCCGAGACACACGTGGTTTTAAAGTTTATAAATCCACGAGAATAATTTCCTTGACGAACCGTGCCATCTTCCTGAAATGTACGAATATTTTACGAACAATTTATCTACCTTATCGCGATTAAATAAAAATTCCATATACAAGACATTATTAAGTTTCGTCGTCGTAAACAACGATTCCTAGACAAAATGTGTAAGGAAACGCGACACACGTTTCTTTATTTTCTTTTGAAAATCGATTTCTTTTTAGAAACGAACTACGTAGGAATTTCACGAACGAACGAACTCCTCGTTTGTTTCACGCTGCGTTCAACTGTTCTCATCTCGCCGAAAACGAAATACCGCGAAAAGATGAGAGATCCAAAAAATTCAAAAAACGTTTGATCGTCTTCGATTTATCTCGTCCCGACGTGATTACGCTATCAGAGCAGTAACAAAAAAACTCGTTTTGTTTCTACAGTCGTTGCAACGTGTATGCATGAAAACGATATTTGTTACGATTATATATATATATAGCAAAAATAGGACAGACTTACGTTATAGTACATATTACAAACATAACAATAATTTGACTTATCTTTTTTTAGAAAAATTCATGGTCTCTCGAATTGAACAAGGAACAGATTTCTGTCGCTAGACGAAGGTTCCTCGATTGCAAGCTTCGCGTGTTAACTGTACAAGCGTACGCGAACGGAGCGGTGATAAGAGGATGCGCGCGCTTACGTCGGAGGATATCGGCGGAATGAAATAAACGACAGGCAGGGTGACTGGCGCGTGATTTTACGCTCCTGGCTAGACAATGTGCGGCCCGATAGCCTTGAGACACGTCCGCTTCCTTTTATTTTTACATCTGATCCCCCCCGTCGAGACAACGACACTCTTTCGGCAGCGAACTATTCGCTGCTTGCTCTCTTTTCCCTTCGCGATCGTGCAACGATCCGAAGCCCGCCACTAACACTCGCATTATACGCGACCGATGCCACACTTCACGTCGTGAAAACGACCGGCCAGTTCGCTGGCTCGCACGCTACTGACACCGCAACGCCACGCAACGCGACAAATCTCATTTTCTCGACTAATGAACGGACGGACGGACGGACGGACGGACGCACCACCACGCGCAAGGACAACGCGAACAAGTTTTCTAACCTCTTCTCCTATCTCATGCAGACCGGTCACATGGCGCGGACCATGGCCGCGACCGATCGATCTGCGTCCAAAATACCCTTCTGCTCTGCTCTCCTCGCTCTATATCTCTCTTTCTCACACCCTCTGTCTCTGTCGCTTGGCTGCTGTGGCTGGATCCTCGCTAACGCTTCCTCCTCGTCACGATATGTAAAATAATGCCCGTATTTCTCTCGTTTCTCGTTTTCACACGAAAACGCGCAGATCACATCTGGCTGCATCTCGTTCTCTCGAGAATACAGCCAGAGACTCTCACGAGTCCGTAAGAAGCCACGAGAGAGCACGGGAGAGTGAATCTCTTTTTCTCTCTTGCTGCCAGAGAGACAAAGAGAGAGAGAGAGAGAGAGAGAGAGAGAGAGAGATACTTGAACGCAGCACGGAGAGAGCCAATCGTCGAGGACCCACGTAGTCGGATGCTGATGTAACGGAATCGGGGATTGGTCGTTGCGTGTTCTCGCCGCAATGCTCGTGAATCATCGAGTGATATCGATACGAACAACGAACACGCGTCAACAAATGTGTCTCGCGCACTACTGAACCGTTCCATCGTCGGATTCGGACTTTTCGGCCCGGTCACTTCTCATCGCCGAGAGAGGGGAAAGCAACGAGAATTCTCTCTCTCTCTCTCTCTCTCTTTGTCCGATGCTCGTGCTCCGTCTGTATCGGGGACATGCGTGGCGCCATCTTTGAATTTCCCACTC